CCCAGCGGAGCACGCAACGAAGTGGACAAAATTTCACCGCGGTTGCTTTGCCAATGGATTGCTTTTGGTTGCCGGATCGATGCGGTGTACGACTGTGAAGCAGCGGTGTGATGTGTGCGCAGGCAGGCATGATAGGTTGGATGGTCCTCTCCCTGTGTTGTGCGTTGCACCGCAATTAACGTACGTACGCAGGATCGAAGCCTGTGTGGTGCAGAGACGCAGCCACGTGAGGATGTGCGGGTTCTGGTCGGACGGACCACACAGTAGAGATGGTCCTTGTCGCTGGACTGCTCTCTTCTCTCCGATGCAGCTGTGGCGCTGTGATGAACAAAGCTGGACAGACCAACCAGCCCACCGTCCCGTACCGACGTTTTCGCTCTGGGCACATGCCTGTACCTATCATCTCAACGTACACCGGTGTGATCTAAAGCTTGGACTAAAAGTACACGAGCTGCTCTCTAAGTACTTAGCACTTGACACAATTCATCGATAAGTGTTAGAACTATTAACTTTTACCAAAATCAAAAAAAAATTAACTCGTCTTACATATATAACAAAGATTAAAGGCATCCATGCAAACGATAAGTATTATATGTTGCTAGAAGATTTATGTAGTTATAAAATTACAAAAACTAACTACTACCAATAGCTAGAAGATTCTTTAGATACACACTAACTAGATACTCAACCGCTGCTTCTCGAAATATCTAGATCCCCTAAACATGATCATAATAGTGCTCGTGACCTCAGGAGTTCCCATCAATTGCTTGTGGCACTCCACGGCATAGGACCGGAGATATTTTTCTTTGCACCAGTAATGGGAGAGACATGACATGTGTGAAGATGGTTGGGAGAAAGAAAGGAACGCATGGTACCGTGGCAAGTTGCCATTCATTGCTGCCATCCGTTCCAAAGATGTTGGCTCCATTACTGAGGCCGTGAAGGGGACAAGTGCCACTGCTACACAGGGAGCTCCCGGCCACAGATTTTACCAACGCCAGAGGCGACGCATCAAGGAAGGATCCCAACAGCGCCATACTTCTGATGTGCGGCCCCGGCAGGATTTCAGTAGCAACCATTGTCATCCTGCTGGTTCTCGCCGGATTCTCACCGTGGTAGCTACAAGTAACATAAAGTAAATCGCCAGCAATGTCCCTCTCTCCTGCAATGGTGATTGTGGTTCATGCGTACTAGTAGTACTCCTAAACAGAGAGCATAGATAGTAGATTAATAGATTTGGTAGATTGTCAATATCAGTTGTAGGCGAACCCGGCCGGCCCTTTTCATGTGGACAAGATCGGATTATATTGCTGGAATCGTATCGTAGGATCCAAAATCCGGAATACAGCAGGTGATAAAAGAGCATGTTTGGTACAGCTCCAACTCCTAAATTTAGTTCCAGGAGTTGGGTCTGAAGTGGAGTTGTGGAGCTGCCAAAACCCAGCTCCACAACTCTAGTTCATTTTATGAGAGAGCTCCACCCAACTCTACTTCCAGTTTTGATGGAGCTGAAATTGTTTAGCTGAGCTCCAGCTCCATGCCAAACAGACCTGACTATCCTCTTCGTGCAAAAAAGAAAATAAATTAAACAAGGATATGACCCAATTCAAATCTATTGTATTAGAATATATTATATCTCAATTTAAATTGATTTTTTTTAAACGAATGAAGTATACTCACGCTCTATTACACTATAGTTTTTTTTTCTAAAGTACTGCCATACATACGATTCAGTTCTATAACTTATAACTCATGTATAATCAAATACATACAATCGTAGATCAACCAAGAAAAGTTGGTAACCGTCTGTAACCGTTGATTAAATTTTCTTTTCTCTATTCGTTCCTGATCGCTGGTGTGTTTATACTGGTCTGGTCCGACACGGTACAGGGTGACAGGTGCGAAGGGGTACTGCGTAGGGCCGTGACTGTCGCGAAAACGGGGCCAGGTCTCCCACAGCCACAAATCCACGATCTCGTTGGCCGCCCATCCCATCTCACGCCACACACGCACACACGCGCGCACAGTTGGTGCGGTGGTGGCGCACCACGCACACACACACACCAGGACCCGCGCCCTGTCGCACTTGTTCCTGGACCCGTAACGACAGGCAGGTAGGCCCCCACCCCCCGGGAGTGTACTACGTGAATGCAGACGGCGCCTCTTTTCACGCGGTTTCTCGCTGCTTTTCCGGTTGCCCGTTCTATACATCGACTCCCCTGATCACGGAGGGAGGCCACGCGCGGTGGACCCCGGCGCCTAACGGTTTCCAGCTTCCAGTAGGAAGGAGGAGTTGATGGGATTTCACCCGAAACGCGGAGACGAGAGCGGGCGATTAGCTGTGCCAGCCATCGCCCACCGCGGACCGCAGTACGCCACGCTGGTGGTGGGCTGGATCCGTCGGCTTCCCTCTCCCTGATGTGCGGAGCACGTTCCCTGTCTCCCTCCCCGTCCGCGCGACCGCGGTTCTCCCCGCAATTTCTATGGATCTCATCACCCCAGCTGACCCAGGCCCCCTTCCTGTTGCTGTCCCTCGTACGCACTACGAGCTTGATAAGGTCAATTGTCTAGTCACGTTACCCGTACGCAGTATTACTAACAAATTCGATGTCAACGGCAATCATTCTTCTTCTCTCGTTACTTTAGAAGACGCGTATACGTGTATACAGCAACACGCATGTACAATACACATCCATAGGGGGTGTTTAGATGGAGGGGTGTAAAGTTTTAGCATATCACATCGGATATTATATAGGGTGTCGTATGGGGTGTTCGGACGCTAATAGAAAACTAATTACAGAATCCGTCAATAAATTGCGAGACAAATTTATTAAGACTAATTAATCAGTCATTATTTAATGTTTACTGTAGCAACATATTGTCAAATCATGGAGCAATTAGGCTTAAAAAATTCGTCCTGCAAATTAGTCACAAACTGTGCAATTAGTTATTTTTTAGCTTATATTTAATACTTTATGTAGATGTTCAAACGTTCAATGTGACAGTGTGTAAAATTTTTGGTAAGGATCTAAACAGGCAGACATGAAACACCGAGTTATAAACTATTGCTTTCCCTTTCAATGTGAGTCCACTTCTTAAACTGTCAAATGCTAGTGTAAAAGTTCTCGTTCACGAAAAAGTTAGTGTAAATAAAATAAATTCATTTTAAGTTTATAAAATCAATATTATATTAGTTAATTAATATTATATTAGTTATATGTTAATGGATTGCCTTATTTTTGTGTGCCGCTCAAAATCCATCCTCTCTTTCAAACATAGCCTAAGGTTGTACTTGATACTCCGTCTGCCCATCTTCTACTTTCTTTTTTTTATTAGTATACACTTTCTAAAATTGCTAAATGGTTATATATGAAAAAAACTTTAAAAGTATTTTAATCTTTTTTCAAGTTTTTAGTTGGTACCTGATTAATTAGATAGGTGCTAATGAGTTATTTCATTTTATGTGCACGGCTTAATTAAAAGATCCCATCTCTTCTCAGCTGAACGCAGCCTTAAGTGTGTTCGCTGACATATATTCTCAAGGAGGTGGAGAACACGAGTGAATTTATAGTCTCGATGCTATCTTTCTTGTGTTACAAATGGGCTTGGATCTTCATATTGTATAGTTTTCATGTGTACCATGGGAAATATTAACATGGAAAAAACCATGTCACAAATACTATAGTTTCGTAGGAAAAAATATACAGTGCATGTAGTGAAAACCTGAAAACTGTCGTTAGATCTCATGCATCCATTTTTAAATCTAACGTTAGTTTTCAGGTTTGCATTACATATACACTACATATTTTTCCTAGTTTCATATGCTTAAAGTGGTCATCTATAAAAGTACATATTATTATTATTTCGTCATGTTTGTCCCAAATGTGGTAGAACGAATGAACTTTTATGGCATTACGTCTGCAGGTAAGCATTACGTACCACCCCAAATGTGTATAGAAGGAAAGGAATATACATGTCGTCATACTACAAGCAAATGCTTTTATTCTTCTTTACTTATAATTAGCTTGCCAATTATCTCGCTGATGACAATGCAAGTTTGCTACCGACCTTGTGTTTGCAACGTGTTAAGTTTGCATATTGTTTGAGAGTTCTATAGTACAAGTAACACATAACCCTTTTTCTCACCATCAAGGATGTCTTTATTTGGGGGTCGTGAAATGGCAGCGTATAAATTCTGAAACGGAGATAGTAGCATTTTACGTTATCCACGATTAGTTTCCTACGATATCCATCAATAAAACCCATGTTAACAAGTGTACATATAACCATCACATAATTTCCTAAATTTCGTAGGATACTATCAAAATCAAGTAAGCTATCTATGATATCGCAAATCAGACGGAAACTTTACTGGTTAACATAGCCCATAATATTAGCCACATACACCATTCATCATAAAAAAATATTTTTAGGAACGAACTTAGACAATTATTTGTCTAGTTTCATCGTTAGAATTTATCTTTTCTTGGGACGAAAGGGTGTACATGCTTTCCACTTCATCTGAAACACTTTCCTTTTTTAAAATTTTTAATGTTTATTACAATTGGATACTACCTCCGTCCCAAAATATAGCAACTTTTGATTATGAATCTGTACACAAAGCTGTCCAAATTCATAGCTAAAAATGTTTATATTATGGGAGTAGGCCATTTACGACTATAATGTATAAATTTATATGGAAATTTATAGTCCGCTTTGGCACCTTGGCACCAGGGTTTCCCTTACCGTCGGTAACCGCGCGGTTACCGCGGTTACTGGGCTTACTGCGGGGGTACGAATATAAATACCGTGGTAATCTCCTTAAATTCAAATAAAATTAAAAAATAATTTAAATTTTTGATAAATGTTATACGGTTTTTCACGGTTATTGCGGTTCACGAAACCGTGCTTGACACCTTCCATCCAAAGCCACCCCTCTCCATCTCGGGCTCCGCAGCAGTAACCGCTCATTAACTTTCCGCTATAAATAAGCGGCGTCTTCCTCCTAGACGAGGCCGCAACCACCAAAGCCGAGGAGGAGATCACGAGACGAGAGAGAGGCAGAGCAATCGAAGCCCCACGCCATGGTCAAGATCAAGATGCCCGCCCTGTTCCGCCGCCGGAGCGGCTCCAAGTCGCCGCCGCTGCCGCAGGCCGACCCCGCGTCCGGCGGCGGGTCCCCGGCGCCGACGCCGGAGGAGGAGATGGAGCGGGTGTTCCGCAAGTTCGACGCCAACGGCGACGGCCGGATCTCGCGGTCCGAGCTCGGCGCGCTGTTCGAGAGCCTCGGGCACGCGGCCACCGACGACGAGCTCGCCCGCATGATGGCCGAGGCGGACGCCGACGGCGACGGCTTCATCAGCCTCGACGAGTTCGCCGCCCTCAACGCCACCGCCAGCGGCGACGCGGCCGCCGTCGAGGAGGACCTCCGCCACGCCTTCCGCGTCTTCGACGCCGACGGCAACGGCACCATCTCCGCCGCCGAGCTCGCCCGCGTCCTCCACGGCCTCGGCGAGAAGGCCACCGTCCAGCAGTGCCGCCGCATGATCGAGGGCGTCGACCAGAACGGCGACGGCCTCATCTCCTTCGAGGAATTCAAGGTCATGATGGCCGGAGGCGGCTCCTTCGCCAAGATCGCCTAGGATCAATCAACCACCCAATTTCTTCCCTTCTCCTCATCCTCCTCATTGACCAACTCCTATCCATCCATCCATCCGAGCGTGCCGTGTGCGGTGGAAATTTTAAGTGTATATACAACCGATTAAAAGACCACTAGCCCTAGATTCTTTCTACTAATAATTGCGATTCTCAACTACTACTAGTTTCTTTCTTGGTAGATTGGAAATTGGAGGCTAAAAAGCAGCAATTCTATCCCCTGCTTTTGGTTCTAAGACACGCCAATGCTTTCTCTCTTTTTTTTCCCCACAAGATGTAAGCGTTTGCGTGGAGTAAGAGTCTTGGATCTTGGATCTTGCATTCTTGTTTCGATTGTTCACCATCTGGAATTCTGGATGTCAGTTAATCTGATCTTAATATAATCCCCTTCTGGATGTCATGTCAGTAATCTGATCTTTATATGATCCCCTATTTTGAGGGCATTTTATCCCTCTGTGATTGTCTTTTGATTTGCAGTTCGATCACATAAGAATCAGATGATACTAGGTCGTTCTGCTTTCAAACTGAAAATTATACTTCAAAATTCAAATTGGAGGTGTATAATCCACCGAATTGAACATGTGTACTCCAAAGGGTTGCACATAAATCATATTGCAGAATGAAACTAGTTTTGCAATGCTACAAATGCAATTGTAAACGGAGGCATCACTGACAGTTTAGATTCTGAGTAGCTTTGGACGTCCAGCCTCTGTGCAAGCTAAAACCTAGCCAGGTTGTTCAAGATTAAAAACGGTTTGAGTGAGTATTTATCCCATTCTTTTTGTGTGCATTTTTCTTTCAGATCAATGTGCATATTGGAACATGGACTAGCCAGTGACCAGGAAGTGAGCAGGAAAGCAGGGAATATTCTTGAGAAAATGGAGGGAATTGTTGTTACTAGTATACAGCAAGCAATGATTGGATTGGATGCTGACGATGAAACGAACCGCTCCTCCTAATACATGATTTGTTTAGCTAATGATCAGAGCGAAGCTGTAACAGTATCATCTGATTTCTGCTCAGCTCAGCCACCTACCTGAACCTGAATATACTAGTGCTGTGCTGGGAATGGCAAGGTCTTATGTAATATTTTGTCAGAAGTAAGTAACCTGTTACTAATCTGGTCTCTGCCTCAGGTAAGTACTGCTTAAACTTTTGACCTTGTCAGTGTCAGATGACATAATGGCAGGAAATCCCCCTCTTAAAAATCATGGAGAGGTTGATCTTCACATGCTTAGTACCCTGTCCAGATGGTCAGAGAGATACATATATAGTTTCATACAAATGATGCTACAAACCATGTGCAGGCATGCATGGATGACAGGCGGGATGCGGTGGTGCTCCGGCTGGCAGGAGGAAAGCTGCTTTGCGATTGGTGCAGGGACAGATGTGGCTAATCTGTTTATCTCTATCAAGAGAACACAACTACTACTTGCCACTGAAGAGTGGCTGCTTGCAGGCTTGGCTTGCAGCTGGGGAGAGAGCATGAGCAGCGGCGGCGTCGGCGGCGGGAGCTTGGGCGCCGGCTTGCTGTACCACAAGTTCGTCAGCTTCGCGCTGGAGGAGACCCGACTCCGGACCACCCTCACCCCTCACCCCTCCCAGGTTCTTCTTCTTGTTGTTCTTCCTACCTTAGCATGCTCCTTGCAGCAAAACAAAATCTAGCTCATGTTCTTGCAACCTAGTAGAGTCTACTGTTAGCTACTTGGTTCAAATACTGGTGAACTACTAGGTGCCCTTGGTTTGATGATTTTTTTTTCTGTCTGAAAAACAAAATTGTAATAGTTGTGAGCTAGAGCTACCACTACGACCATACTGTTGCGATTGGTCGTTACCTGATGATTTTTTTTTTTTGCTATTGTAGACCAGCACTGGGAAACCTAGCTTTCATATGTGAACAAATTAATCCCTTGTAAACAATGACATAACCTAATCGTTGTTTCTTTAGTCGCAACCAAGTGATTGTGATTACTTGTTTAATCTTGTGAAGAAGCAGGCTACCAAGCATAGACATTTGATTGTGCAATTTATTTATTTATAGTAGTATCTATCAGAGCTATGTCGCCCAATAGTGGCAGCTAGCTTCAACCATGTTTCTAAGCCCTGTCTCAGGCTGTCAATATTTCTGTCTCATGTAAATGTAAGTAGTTGACCTTGTATTGTTTTATGCTTCCAGGAAAAGTTCAAGTCTATAAAACCCAATGATGATAATACAGTTTTCAATGCTCTCTCATTCAGTGCACCGAAAATTAGATTGCTTCGCAGCTTGACAATCGAGAAGAAAAACTCATATCAGGTATTTAATCTATGTTGGGGATTTCTGTTCAAGTTTACTTGATCAAAACTCTCTTAACAATACCACAAGTCCACAATGTTGCTTTCCCTGACTTATCTCCTATTCCCCTGTGCTTTAAACATTGTCCTGGTTCTGCTTCATTGTGATTTGGAACGTTTATATCCAGTCATAGTTCTACAACACGATCCACGTTAAATCTTTCGTTGATCTTTCACTGAAAAAAAAAATGTATTGCTTTGATTTGATCAATTTATGACTATTCTTTTTCTACAATGCAACAAATTAAAAGTGTTGACCCGCCAGCTTACGTCATGTTTTACCATTCTCCATATAACATGTGAAGAGTTTTGCTTGCTAGTTACAATTGAATGCCCCATATCTCTATCTAGGAAAATGCTCCACTATACTTACAATGCATATTCCTATGCAGGTTCTTGACTTTGCCGCTTTCTCTGAACCTGAATACGATCTTCCTATATTTTGCGCCAACGTTTTTACAACTCATGCACAAAGTATTGTTGTATTGTAAGTGTCAGAGAATAGTTGCTGTTGCAAGGAAAAGTATTGTTGGCTTTCTTCCTTGCCTAAAACCTAATGGATATGAGCCCTGAACGAACAATTCAAACTATCTGCAGGGACCTCAATCCTCTATATGATACTACAGTGCACAAGGATTACAAAGATAAGTACTATAGGAGTATAATGCCTCTTGTACACAAGTATAACGAGGTACATGGATCTTTCCTGGCTCCACCCAACCTATTGCCTCATAAATTGTTATTTAGCTCGATATCTTTATTTAGAGGATATGCAGCTTCTTCCTTGGGGTGGCAAGATTACGAGTGAGTCATTGAAGTTCTTCTCTCCAATTGTGATCTGGACAATATTTGAGTCAACTGAACACAACCACCATGTTCTACATTCAGCTTTCGTGGATTATTATAAGGCAAGACCAGACTATTTCTTTAAATTTTCTCAAAAAGTTTAAGAGAAACACGAAATTTGAACAAGTTTCCTGCCCTTGTTTTGTCAATGTGAATTTTGGACTGAATTTCTTGAAGGATTATTCTCTTGTGTGCAGCCATCAAATCTGAATATTCTCACTATGTAGGTCTGGCTTGAATTAATGGACCAAGCAATTAAAGAAAATAACAAAGCAACAATTGCTCGTAACCAAGAAGAACAACATAAATATCTCACATGGAGGGCTGAGAAGGTTGTTTTTTTATTCCATCAGAATCAGATATCACTTTAGAAAATTATACTCGGAGACTTGAGTATTACTTGCCTCATTCTGCTACTCATCCATTGGTGTTATGAAAGATACTATGTTGATCTTGTGCATCCTCTATGTGCAGGATCCTGGCTATCCCCTTTTGAAGAAGTTAATTGGTGAAAGTCGTGCCGAGGTTTTGTCTGGGCCATCACTACATTTATACTTACTTTTGACTTATATTCTGTGTGGTGTTATTTGAATTTTGAGGTATGTATCATCTTGACAATCAGGATCTGGTGATGGAGTTTCTGTTTGAAGGAGTAAATACTCTTGGAACAAAATCATTTCTGGATTATTTCCCTGAATACGCCCGTGATGATGGGTCAGTGAACAAGAAAAGGAGTATGATCGGCAAGTCTTTTGAAACTAGGCCTTGGGACGCCAATGGAGAATTCATTGGCGATGCCGAAGCACAGTAAAATGTTCGCTACGCCTTTCGGCCTGATCAATCTCTCTTATGCTTGTAGTACTGTTTTCTTTTTTTTTAGAAAACTTACATTTTTCATGCTCATATCCCTGAACTTGGATTGAATAAGAAGAGATTGGTGAATCTGAGTCATGTATTATTGTTCTCCGGTTGCACTGATTGTCGTTGTTAGACGATGGTCTCTGCTCCTGGTAGTAGACATGATCTGAAACAAGAGGGGTCATCCTGCCCTGCCCGGATTAGGATCCTCTGCAGTCTACTGCACCGTGCCTTTGTCACTGACATGTGGGCCGAGAGATCATCGGGTCCACCTGTCCGTGAAAAAGTCACGGTGCGGGATCTCAATCCGCCCTGCCCTGCGCTGCACTCCACTGCTGATGTGCTTTGTTGGAAGCAAAGGAGAAAAAAAAGAACTCATTCTTTCAAGCACTTGGGATACCTCCTCTTTCACAAGCTTCCATGGTGAACCCAACATCACCCATGCTGCTGCACTGACTTCTGCTTTGCTTGTGCCTCCAGTTCTGGGAGATCATCAAACCACAGCTAGCACGCCAAGGAAACATCAAGGAAGTTGTCATCCGAGCCTTGCCTGAAACAAAAGAACAAAAAATAACACGCCTCGGATCCCTTTTTCCCCTTGCATGCACAATGTTTAACTTTTAACCTCATATCACCAAGCCAGTAGGAAAAAAGGACTAAAAAGGCAGGAGCATGTGCACGCGCGGACAGAGGCTTCAGCTGGTAGTAAAAGACAACGCTAGTGCTATCTACTACTCCCTCCGTTCTATTTTAAGTGCAACCATAAGTTTTCGTACCTAAGTTTGATCGTCCATCTTATTTGAATTTTTTTATAATTAGTATTTTTGTTGTTATGAGATGATAAAACATGAATAATATTTTACTTGCGACTTATGTTTATAAATTTTTTTTATAAAAATTTCAAATAAAACAGATGGTCAAAATTGAACGTGAAAAACCATAGCTACACTTAAAATAGAACGATGGGAATACTACTACTCGATCTGAAAAAGAGAAAAGGCTCAAGTGAGTGACAAAGACAAACTTGGCTCTCAACAGTAGAAGTAGTAGTAGGTGCGAAACCTGCATTGCACTATTGCAGTCGCAGCCACACCTACTGTTCCGAGTACAAAGCGAACTGAAACTAGCAAAGCCATACTCCTACTACTACTAGACCTAGTGGAGCACACTTCCCCTGAGCTTTTGGAGGAAGTTCTAACCCACTTGCACGCACCTCCGTTTCGTTGACGGACCAAACCCCAGAACGCATGCGAAAGAGAGTCGCTCTCGCTTTGCAGGTCGGCAACTGCGTCGCGCTGCAAAATTGCAAAGGCGAAACTGCTAATCCAGGCCTAGATTTACCCGCCGGCGAGGCGAGGCGGCGACAGGGCAAGACGAGCGTGACGGGGACCATTGTCGTGTGGCCAGAGCTCACATGCGGCGAGGTTGCAGGTGCAGCTGCGTTTGTCTTGTCGCCATGGTAACGGCCGGAAATGCAGCTTCACTTTAATACTGCTACAGTAACAATGGCGAGAGAAACACAAGTCGCAGGCTAATGTTGCTGCAACCAAGGTGACCGATGAGCATGCCGAGGTATGAGTACTACTACTCCCTCAGTCTTAAAATATAAAAAACTAAAATTGGACGGGATATTTTCTATTACTATAAATCTCGTAGTAGCAGTGACACGTACTACTGGTTGTAGGAGTACAAATATTCCCTGACCTCGGTCAAAAACTGCATCACAGAGCAGGATACTCTTCTTTGACTCACATTTCTTAAGAGCATGGTTTTACGCAGTAACATGGCCTGGCTAGCGATTGTTGAGAAATTTCCTCAGGCAGAAAGCCGAAAACTGCCAAATATTACAGAGATGCACTGTTGCTCGGCCTCGAGTTTCTACCAAGAAACTCCATGGCAGCTTACCAATCTTCAGAAGAGAAAAGAAAGGCAGCTTACCAGGGCATCTGCTAGGCAATTGCTCAAAGCTTTACTACTTCATGCAGGTTGGAAATCACAAAGATGGACTCAAACTACTCCAGTCCTAGTAGCTGTCATAGGAGCTGCCTTGCCATGACAGGTTGACCAAATCTGATCTCCTGATTGGAAGGTCGTTGTCTGAATGTTCATGATCTTGTACTTATACTGTTTATTCAGAATTAGTGTACGGCTTCAACTTGAATCAAACACTCCTCCAGGCTGCTAATCATAATCCGGGTGTCAGGATTCATTGTACTGTAAAGCGTTTCTTGAAGCACCGATAAAAGGAAGGAAAGGCAGCAGCACTGCATGCTTGGAGAGTGACTGCTAGTACTAACTACTAAGTACTTCTTTAATGGAAAAACTTGCCACTGAATTTTCTTCAGAGAAGAGCAGAGTTATTTTGAACAGTCTTAAAAAACAGTTTCTTTTGAAAAATAGTAGAAAAGGCAAGGTTAGGTCTGGAATCAGCACACAGCTTTAAGGAAGAACGACCATCTGAGATGAAGTGGCGTATTTATCCTGTTAAGGCGAAAATGAACCGTGAAAGCGATGAAACCAGGTGCTACACTATATGGTGTACCATAGCTACAACAACATCTTGTGATCACTGATTGCAAAACTACATGTCATGGGCCTTATCTTGGAACTTGCCCGAGCATTTCTGGTAAGCTAAAATAGACAGAAACATGGGCACCTTTCAAGAACCAGCAAGAGAGAGAAAAAATATATACTACAAAGAGTAGAATAACCACAAAGAGTTACTGTACAATGTATCAGTTTTTTTTGTTTGTTTTTGTTAATCAGCAAAGTGGTTATACATTACTGTCACTCAAAGCAGTGGAGCAGTAGCAGCTAATCCAGATGAAACTAGCCGGAAACCGCATGCCCGATGCCTAAAGGGAAATGGACAAAAAGAACACGTTCCAGCTGCTTGCCAAAGCTGCCACGTTGCCATCACGCAGACGCAACCGGTCTCGTCAAGCCTACGCGAATCGGAATCTCCAATCATTCTACGAAAAACAACAACATTTTCCTCTGCAATCCACTCATTCATTCATTCATTCAGCTCACCTCAATGGAGTAGTCGTGTAGTTAGTGCAGTAAATTAATCCATAAGATCTAAAGAATGTTTTATAGTAGCTCGATCGCAGCAAGATACAAGTCCGATTCACACAGCAACGTTAGGCTTACAGCTCCAACTCCAAGTTGGAGGATTAAAATTTGAAAAATTGAAAGAACGAAGCATTCGCCTTGGGATTACTCTCTCTTAATGGATTTTACAGGTTGGGTTTAGGCTAATAATAATATTCCCTCTTCATCTTGGATTAGTAGAGTACTTAATTAGCAGCGCATCTAGTAGTGCTGGCTTTTTTTCCATCGTCTAGTGCGCGCCAAAAAAAGTTGAAGCACACCACATCAGAGCGCATCACGGCCGTCCGATCTTTTTGGCGGGAACGGAGGAATGGATCACCACGATCTCGGGCCGTCCGCCGTCGCCGTGGCGGTGGCGGTGGCGGCCATCATCATGCGGGCGAAGTCCTGGAACCCGACGAAGCCGTCGCCGTCGGCGTCGACGCCGCCGATCATGCGGCGGCAGTCGTCGAGGCTGCAGCCGTCGCCGTCGCCGCCGAGGATGGCGACCATGACGCCGCGGAGCTCCTCGGCGGTGATGCGGCCGTCGCCGTCGGCGTCGAACACCTTGAACGCCTCCATCAGCTCGTCCTCCCCGCCGCCCGCCTCGGCCTCGGCGGCGATGGCCGCGACGGCGTCCAGCTCCTCGTCGTCGGGCTCCCCGTGCCCGAGCCGCCGGAGCACGGCCTCCAGCTCCCGCCGCGAGATCTCCGCGGGGAGCACCGACCTCGGTGTCGACCTCGCCATCAGCGCGTCGTCCGAGGACGACTCCGACTCCGACGACGCCGACGCGAACGACGACGCCTCGCTGCGGGAGATGGCCCGCTTCACGCCGCTCCCGTTCTTGGACATGCCACCATCCCTCTTACTGCTTCCGCCGCCGCTGCTCCACGTCCGCTTCGGCGACGGGAGGGAGAGCTTGCGGGCGAATGACTGGATGGAGAGCTTCATCTCGCTCGAATGGGAGATCGAGAGATTTGGAGAGGTTGATGAGATGAGGAGGAAGAAGGAGGCGAAGGAGGAGGGAGATAAAAAGGGAGGGGAGGGGGGAGGGGAGTGAGCTTCGTGGAAGCTTCGTAGGGGTTGTCACTTGATTTTTGGCTGGGTTTCGTGCGTCTCGTTTGGTAATAATCCCAACATGGGGAGTGCTGCGGATTTATCTCGTTGAGGGTAACCGTTTTCGGCTTGGGGGACCCCCGGGATTTGCTGTGGCCTCCCTCTCCTGTGGCAGCTGGAGAGTTCTGTCTGTGGTGGCTGTCATGCCGTCTTTAGGGGCTGAACCGTGTAAGAGTTGAAACCGGCTGGCTGGAACCTGGTGGCGTCTAAAATTGTGCTCTCGTGGTAATATAGTAAATAGTGTTTGTCACTTATCTGGATAAGCCTAAACCAGTTGTGCCACCTCTTATCTTGGGTTTTATCCAGCATTAACACATGAAAAAAATATGCATTCTCTTAACTTTTGTTTGTATATATCCTGATATTGCTATAGTCAGTATTCTATCATAAGCAAAGGACAGGATACCTAATATGAAATGAGTCATTAGTATAGTGAGCATTAACTATTTTAAACTTGAAAAAATAGATTTAACTTTACTATAGATTTTTTTTTGAAAAAAACTCATTGTTTAGTAGTTCAAAAAATATGTGTGGAAAAGATAAAAGTTAGTTTATTCTGGAATAAACTTCAAACCCTAAATTTATTTATTTTAGGATGGAAGGAATATTAGGTTGTGTTTGGAACCCTGGGTTCTCAACCCTTCTCCATCGTATTCTACACGCACGTTTTTCAAACTGCTAAATGATAGTATGTTTTTTTTAAGTTTCTATACAAAAGTTGCTTTAAAAATATTTTGATTTATTTTTTTAAAAAATATTAGCTAATACTTAATTAATCACACGCTAATGGACCGTTCCGCTTCCGTATTTATTATGCATGCTAGGAAGATGCTATTCCAAACACAGCCTTAGTTACAATATCTTATTTAGGCCGTTGAGCCTATCCTATTGGCTATATAAGTGGAAGAGTAGGATGTGGGCCAATCAGCCAAGGGCCACAGCCAAGCCGAGTGAGTACTTTGAGGGTGTTCAATGCTGGTAACGTTTTGGGTTGCATCGTGCAACTAGCCAACTACTGTAAAATTATATTATTATTATGGTTATAGAAACTATTATATTTCATCCATCTTAAACTATAAAAATATTTTAGTTATGAGACATATTCTAATACTAGAGTCTGCTAGATTCTAGGTATCACAACTGTTCCCTTACATTTAATATTTAGACTGAATGTTTAGATATATGTATGTAGCATTAAATATGGACGAAAAAACCTATGGCACGGTTTGCATGTAAACTGCGAGACGAATTTTTTGAGCCTAATTACACCATAATTTAACAATACGGTGATACAGTAAATATTTGTTAATGATAGATTAATTAGGCTTAATAGCTTTATCTCACAGTTTACAGTTGGAATCTGTAATTTATTTTGTTATTAGTCTACATTTAATAATTAAAATATGTGTTGGTATACTTAAAAAAGTGAAAAGAAACTAAACACGGACTTGGTTTGTTTATTTCTGCCACGAAAAGGTCTCATGTTTCATGTTTTTAAATTCCGGGGCATTGTTGGCCTTTCGGTTTTAGCTGTCGTTGAGATGCTTGGTTTGCCATTCATTTCTTAATTTTTCTTCATTTTTTTTCTTCATTAACCTTGCTACACACTCTCCTCATTGGAGTTCTACCTTCTGATTAACCTTTTAGAAGAAAACATATTTTCAACTCACAAAATAAAATTCGCCAAGGTTAACAAAGGGGGTGTTTAGATCTAGGCGTGTAAAGTTTTACCGTGTCACATCGGATATTATATAGGGTATCGCATGAGGTGTTCGGGCACTAATAAAAAACTAATTACAGAATCCGTCAGTAAACAGCGAGACAAATTTATTAAGCCTAATTAATCCGTCATTAGTACATGTTTACTGTAGCACCACATTGTCAATCATGAAGCAATTAGGCTTAAAAGATTTATCTCGCAAATTAGTCGCAAACTGTACAATTAGTTATTTTTTAGCCTATATTTAATACTTTATACATAAAATTAGTTATTTTTTTAGCCTATATTTAATACTTCATACATATGTTTAAACGTTCGATGTGATAGGGTGTAAAATTTTGTGTGAAAACTAACAGGGCCAAAGTTATTACTGGTAACATTGATATGCAGAAGCCAGAAGGTACCAACAAGCTAACTGATTGAATAGGACGGTTAACAACATAGGCCAGGCTTACACCCTACCCCTCTGTAGCAATCCTTTTTCCAGATATGCCGTGGCACAAACCCAACAGTTCAAGTTCAACCCAAACACAACACACCACACCTCGTCACAACATATGGGCATCATTTTATACACGTTTGAAAATGCCATCGACATCAAAATCCTCAAGTACAAACGCGTGGGCAATTATAACCATTGCTCCCTAATCCAAACTACGTAAATGGTAAATTAATTAGATAGTAGCATTAGAGAAGTGCAACGCTTTCTACCACGATTGGAAAAAGGTTCAACGAAATTCCACCGAGTAAGTTTGAGACAAAGAGAAGAAAAAAAACATCATTTTTCATGCGCACGCTTTCCAAACTGTTCAAGTTTAAATAATTAATATTTTATTAATTATACGCTAATACAACGAATTTGTAGAGTTGTCATACGTTGTATAGAGGAGAATGTAGGTTAAAATTTTCTTTTAATGGGTGGAGTATGTCTCAATCTGCTGTACTCCCTCCGTCATATAAAACACTAAACTAATACTAGATATGATATATCATAAATCTAAACAGTGTTTAAATTTATTATATTAAAATATATCATATCCAATTCAGGATTTATTTTTTCTGTGGAACAAAGGAGGATTCCTCTCTTCTCAAACATAACCGGCTCGGTCGTGCAAACCGACGTCATCCAGAATTCGCGGCAGCCCGGCCGGCCGGCCGACCGATCGACTGATGGATGGAGATGGAAGGTGACGCGACGAGTTGGAGGCTGTACCATTTTTTGCCGCAGCTCATGTGCAGCTTCCGCGAAATTTCGCGTGCTCGCGCGAGAGAGCCAGTATAGGTGTGTGTCTCTCTCCTATACTTCGTGCGCTCGTGACCGACTTGTGTTCGTGTACCACCACCACCACAAACCAGCTAGGAACAGCTCGGCGCACACGCGAAAAAATCCTTTCAAAATCTGGCCGTTTTTGACACGGCCCTGGCTCCAAAACCGTGTTGAATCTCTCTGAACGTACGTACATGCGCCGTACCGTACTTGATCTTCATCTCTCTCTCTCTCGAGTTTGTTTTTGGATTTTAGTTTTGTTCGTTGGGTTGATTGATTAGTGGTGATAATTAGCTGCGTATGATCTGTCCCATTTGCACTGGCTCCACCTCGTCTCGTCTCTTCGTGATATGCCATCTTCTGATAAGAAACAGATTGGTGACACCGAGTGCACAACACGTATGTGTGTCCGTTTCTTTAGAGGAATTAACGCGTTTCTTATCTTGTGAAGTCAAATACATAGCCCTTTCTTTCACTTGATTGGTTTTATTGGCTTATGGTTCTATGATTCGATACCACGACTTTATTTGTTTAGCTGACTCTGATATATATATATATATATATATATATATATATATATATATATATATATATATATATATATATATATCATCCAGCCGTCGTGGTTGATTAACCGCAACTCCCAGAATGTTTGTTTGTTTATAGCATCTAATCTAATGATTGCTGCTGCAGATGACAGGGTATTAGGAAGGCACTAATGTTGGTTTTGTGGTGATCCGTCGAGCAGGAGATCGACAGATGTCTGCTAGATATCATGCATATATTCATGTTCAGCTGGGAAAGAATATGAACCAAACGTCGTCTTCAGAAACAAAGGACTGACAAGTACATGTACAGTATTGTAGTCAGTACGCAGCAGCAGTACTCTTGTGAATACAGTATACTACTGTTTTTTTTTTCCGGAATTCCGAGTACAAAGCCCCATGTGAGCTGCTGTTAGGTGTTCCTAAGGTTTGGTGGCTGGTTGTTGTTCTGTAATAATGGCAACAGATCGATCGAGTAGACAAGTACTTGTATGATTGAGGCAAATCTAATACTTATCTTACTGTAACTGAAATTTGTGAAATCTATCATTAGTCTGTGTGGAGACTTGTCATTGGTCAGTTCATGGTTCGTATTCATGCACGTTTCGTATACTGTTAACGTTCAACGACTATTCAGCACTGTTGATAGCGGACATTACCGTGACGTGACAGTCTACTGTGACATGTTAATAGTTATCCTGAGGTAAGTTTATTTTTATTAACCATTGCATCGGAATTCATAAAAATACGAGATAAATATATTGGGAGTAAATAAAATAAGAAATAATTGCAATATTGGAATATAATAAAGTAGAGGTATTTTAGTTTTTAATACTGTTTTGGTACACAAGTAGGATGAGTGAAACATAAATTTATTTATAGGGAAAGTGGAAATCGCTTATATTATACTCTCTCCGTACTCGTAAAGAAAGTCGTTTAGGACAATGTTTAAGTCAAACCTTGAGAATATAAATCATTAATAACTATTAAGTTATTGAGTTTAAAAATATAAAAATTATTTGAATAAATTTGTCTTGAAAAATACTTTCATAAATATATATATATATATATATATATCACTTTTTAATAAATATTTTTATAGAAACAAGAAGTTAAAGTTGTGTTTTGTAGACCGTGTCGCTGTTCTGAACGACTTCTTTATGAGTACTGAGGGAGTAATAGCGATACTAAAGGTTCTATCTGCACGAATGAAAGATTTGATCGATTGTTGTCACCTAGTTGCTGATAAATGTTGTGGGGTCCCGCGGGGGGGTGGCGCAACGCAATACATGCAGGCGTGGTACGAAGGGAACAGCATAACATGGCTCGGTCGCTGCAAAAAAAATACAAGCCTATCCAGGTTAGAGCTACGACGAGACAAGACGAGCGACACTTATACTGTTTCAATTGCGCCCACATCCTCAGTGTAATTTTGTAATCCTAATCCAAAATATTAGC